CTGTTGCATTGTGGTAAACTGTGGTCAATGACATGAGACAAAGTATATGTGAACTGCTGTATGGAAAGTGAATTTGCTCTGTAAATCTTCACCTTAATTAATTAATGAAAGAAAGAAAGAGAGAGAGAGAGAGAAAGAGAGAAAGAGAGAAATAAATAAATAAATAAATAAATAAATAAATAAATAAGAAAGAAAGAAATCCTGGGTCCTCTAGGTAATGGCTGGGATTGGTGAAAGGGCAGAAGAGAATTTCACGTAAGGGAGTTCTACTACACACATCTAACTCCAATATCAAAGGATGAGCTCAGTTTCCACAGTAGTCATTCTACAGATAGATGTATATGTAAACTTATTAATCTTCCCAGTTCTGACCACATTGCATCAAACTGAAATGGTTGAGAAAGGTAAACTTCTACTTACAGTTTCTTTGAAAGAAGAGTTTAGCCAGCGATTATTCACTACATTCTGTATGGATGTGGGTGGGTTTTCTAAATCTTCAAAGGAATCCATTAATATAAAATCCAGAACAACATCATAAAAATTTATATTTTTCACCTGCAATAAATTATAACGATTAAAACAGAAATTATTATTATTGAGAGCTGAAATAAAATCTGTGTCAGGGTTTTATCTTTCATAACAACAGGTTTTTTTAGTTGAATCAAGAGATTATATTATAGACAAAAAAAAAAAAAATAGGAAAGACAAATACCAAAACAATTCATAATCAGAGACTACAATTCACACGGTGCCTAAAAAAGAACACCAAACCAAACTCACTGCCATCAAGTTGATTCCAACTAACAGTGACCTTATAGGATAGGGTAGAACTGCCCCACAGGTTTTCTAAGGTTTAAGTCTTCATGGAAGGTGACTTCCATTTCTCCTGCAGAGCGGCTGATAGATTCAAACCACCGACCTTTTGGATAACAGCCAAGAACTTAATCTTGGCTCCACCAGGACTCTACATGATCCCTATTCCTTCCTAAATCTGTTCAGGTGAAATTAAAGGCACTTGACTGCTAACCAGAAGGCTGGAGGTTCAAACCCACCAGCCACTCCTCGGAAGGAAGATGAGGCAATCTACTTCCATAGTGATACTGCCTCGGAAACCCAAGGAGGGGTCGCTATGAGTCGGGTCCAACTCGATGGCACACAACAACAAGAACAACAACAACAACATCTGTTCTAGGAGTCTTTTGTCCATGTTTTTTAGACCATCCATAATGTTCATTCTGCTTTATTTAGTTATCAGTAAATCTACCTATATAACCCACCAAATTATGAACCTCTTATTCTTTCATTCACTCAGCATACTGTGTTGTGCTTGGTAGTCAGTCTTCTATAATAAGCATAGTAGAGCTTACAATACAGTAAGGAAAACAGAGTAACAAACAAATATTCAATTACAAACTGTGATAAGCAAAATAAAGGAGAAAGTACATAGTGCTATGAGAGCTTATGATAAAGATTTGGATCCAGAGTATACGTCAAAGAGGGCTTCCTTGAGGGAGAGAGGCATCCAGGCAGAACAAATACCTTTCCAAGACTTTAAAGTAAGAAGGAATACCCTGTGTATTGAACTGAAAGAAATTGAAAAGTGTGCTCTCTGTGGCTAGAGGCAAGGGGGAAGGCAGTGTTTTATGGCCTGTGTTAAGGATTTTGGCTTTTATCCTCATAGCATTTGGGGGCTGCAGATTGGGGAGAAAGAGAGATGATCAAATTTGGATCTTTTAAAGATCATCTAGGCAGCAATGTAGAGCACAGAATGGAAAGGGGAAAGAATGTGTCCAGGCAGCAGGGCAACAGGCAAGTGATACATGCTACTGAGATAGTCCAGGGAACAGACTACTGCTGCGAAGGCCAAGACGGGAATGGCAGGAAAAGGGAAACACTGAAAGATATTCAGGAGTTAAAATGCACAAAACTTAGAAGTGACTATGATAAAGTGGGTGAGGCCCAGGCGATGTGCAGGATGAGCCCTCAGGTTTCTGGCCTGCACAACTGGATAGCTGTGATTGTGCTCCCTCAGTGAGAGAATATTGGAGAAGGGAAGAGCATGCCTCCACATCTGTGAACCTACTGTTTTCTCTGCTAGAATGCCTTCCAGTGCCTTGTAAATGCCTACATTGCCAACTATCACTCTACTTTCAAAAGCCAGTTCATTTATTATATCTTCTTTTCCGAGCAAACTTAACAGTTCCATTCATTGTGAGCCTTGTGTATTTCCAGCATGAACCTATATTATCTGCATTATTACAATGTAATGGATCTATCCATTGAGGAAACTGATTCCCCACCAGTTTGTAAGATCCTCAAGGAACATAACAAGGAACTTAACAAAGTACTTAGCACCTATTAAATCTTCAATATATGTTTATTTAACATCTGTTAGTCTTCCTATGTTCTTCCTATTTAATACCTTGCACAGACTGACTAACGACTGCTGGACAGCAGGAAGGAGAAAGAAAAGGAAGTTTTTTTCAAAAACATTTTCAGCTGGAATCCTAACTACAGTAGCTATTGTTTGGGAGTCTGCCAGAAGATATGTGTTACCCCAACACCACAAAATTGGTTTTAGTATCATTTAATAAGGATGATGTTAACAGTGGCCTCAGCTCCTGTAAATATTATGTACAAATAATTAAGGAGAATGAGTCTTATGAAACTTTTGAACTTACTCCTCTAGCAGCAAGTTCCATTTCAGTACTATCCCAGTGATCAGTCTGCTCTAAAAAATAAATCATTTCATCAAAAACATCTTCAAACTTCTTTGGATTCTGCAGAAGAAAATATATTTTAATGTTAGACTCAATTAATAACAAGTGTTAGGCCTATGAAGTAAATAAATTACTCTTCATGTAAGTTTGTTGGATTTTAATTCTACTATGTAACTGAATTAAAATAAATTTCAAGGTATGGCAAATTCATTTGGTTCAATATTTTGTTGTTCCAATATTTTACAGAGCCCAAACTAACAATGTTAGCAAAATATCATAAGCACATTGCTTACTACTCAAATATGTATGACTATTTATACCTATTTCTCACTTACCAACTACCTCATTATCTGGCATTTTGCATTCACAACCATAGTAAAAAAAAATACTATTTGACTTATGTGCATTAATGACAGTACATCTGGCAGTAACCAATGCCGAAGTGTGAAGCAACAGTAACACTGGCCATGATGGTTAAGGTTATGGGTCAGCATAGCTGGGTCATGATTCTCAGTGATTCAGCAATTATGTAATGATGAAACCTGGCAGTTTGTATAATGATGTAATTTGGCAGTTATGTAATGATGTTATCACCCTTTATTTTGTGATCTGATGTGGTCATCCTCCATTTTCGTGAAACACCGATTTTCGCATCACCTACTGGTCTTTGGAAATTAACCACCTCATTAATGGAAGACTGGGTGCAACTAGTCCTTAAGATGAAAACTGGTTATAGTAGATAATGTGTGATGCTTTTGATTCAGTTCTGTTCCTTTCTGGAGAACGACAGTTCACTCACCAGGTTTACTTGCCATAGGAGGCCAAGAAAGCAACATTAGATTTACACTGAAATTGTGAATAGTTACTATCAACTTACATTTACTCAGCACTTTTTTTAATTTGCTTTCCCATTTGTTATTTATTTAATCATAACAACAATTCTCTGAGACAGAGTAGCACAAATATAGCTCTATTATATAAATGAACAAATTAAGCTTCACAGGACCTGGGTCTGAAAACCAAGTATGTAAGTGGTTTCAAAGAAGGCCTGGTTTTGTTTTTTCCTTTTTTCCCTCATTATATGATACACTTTGCATAAAGGAAAATGGTTCCTTACAATCTTAATGAAGTTCTTGTTATTGTTTCTGCTTATTTAATCCCATGAAGATGAGTAAGACAAAAGGCAGCTCAATTTGTATTTCCAGATTTCTGAGATCTACACTAATTCCTGGAACCTTCTTCATGAAGAAGATTGAGACAGGTAAGAGAAAATGTATCAGTAATGATAATAATGGCAGCTGTAGTAGCAGACCTAATGATGATCCTCACCATGATATTCATAGACCTTATAGCAAATTGGAAATAACTTATGAGAAACAATTTGGTTAAAACTGTGTGGACCTTATCCACAGAAAATAACTCATCCCAGGTAGAAATCAATGCTATTTGGGTTACTTATTTTTCATCTGTGGCCCTTTGTGACCATCTACAAAAATGTTGTATTCTACTGAAAATTTTAATCTCCGAGTGAGACACAAAACAAGGACAATAAAAAACTTGCCAACAAAACAAGTTCACCTTTCGTGCTTTCACAATTAAAGCTGATAAAATTTTCCTTCCACTCTCAGCAAGGAACATCCTATTGGCTGTTTCTGAAAGAATTACCTGCAAAAAAACCAGCCCCAGTCAACAAGAAAAAAAGAGACCGATAATTAATTTGAATGCACATCAGACTTTATAACACAGCTATGTATAAATAACCCTAATACAGTTAATGTACTACATGTGGCACTATTTCAGCAGGCTAACCACAGAGAAAATTCTAATTTACTAAAATAAAAAGAACCCTTGAAATCTTTAATCCGAAAATATTAAAAAGTAGTAAATCTGTATTTACATTCTGTTCAACATGAGATTAGAAAGTCTAAAATAAATTTTATATAGCCCCTAAACATATAAAACCAGACATTTTTGTTCTTAAATGACCTTATTTCACTTCAGGAAATCAAAGATTTTACAACTGATTCAAATGAGAAACACTCTAGAACACATACTAATTGACAATAAAAAAGAAGGTTTTTTAATTTTTTTTTTTTTTTTTTTTTAAGCAGCCATTTGTACATATCCACAGAATCAAAATGTCCCATTTTGGCAAAGTGTGGTGGACCTGGGAAGCCATGGGAGACCACAATGACAAATGGCAATGAATGAAGGGAAGTAGCAGGGAGGAAAAATAAACTTAATAGATTCTATTGTAGCCATTAAGAATAGAGATAATAAAAAGCAAGGAGCTACCTTGTTTATATGCAGCTGGACTCTAGAGTGTGAGGGTGGGAATGGATGAGTAGCTGGTTGAAGTCATTTAGTGTTAAAAAAAAAATTTAAAAATACCTGAAAAGCCTGTCGAATACAGTGAAGTTTGGCAAGAAAATCACTGTCTCCGAGGCACTCCAACATTTCAGTTCTATGTAATAAACGGGAGAAAATCATTAAGCTGGATTCAAAATCAAGCCTACTACAAGTTTGGACTCAAACAAGGCTTAACCTCAGGAACTTAATATAAAACACATGTCTTCTCAATACTGACAAAGTCAGAATTTGCAAAAAAAAAGAAAAAAAAATTAACTTGGACCTAAAAATATATTTCTCCCTATTCTCATGAACATTTTTAATAAATATCACACAAACATAGCAACAGAACCTTAATATTTTTCATAAAAACAAGCAAAACAAAAAAGGTACCTAAGCACTCTTGAGTAAATTTTTCCTTCTTCAACTAAATGCATGGCTTCTTCATAAAAAGGGCACTGGCAAAGAGACTGTAGAATGTAAGTATGTCGTATTTCCCTGTGTTCTGCAAGCTAAAAAGACAGACGGTTAAATAGACTTTAAAAAAAGAAAAACTACAAAATACAGAAAATAGGCTTTGGCTAACATCAAACATACTAAATTGATGAAACCATGAAAAGCATTCTGTAAGATTTATGGCTAGTAAGGCATGAATTCATTTTATTTCAAAATTCACTTGTGAAAAAGAGTAAAACTTTAAAACAAGTTTAGTTCATTTTGAATCCAACTACATAAATCCATATAGTACACAGAAAAGCAATATCTTACAGCTTACTATCAAGAATAACTGAAGGTAAAACATTTAAAAAAAAAAAAAAGATAGTATTATTTTAAAAAATGCTTAAAAGTACCCTCAATTCTCACTTATCAACATGGTTAGGTTCTAAAGTCCAGGTCACTATGTGAAAATAGAAGATGACCACATCAGATCATAAAATGGAGGATGATTACATCATTACATAACTGTCAAAACTTATCATTACATAACCACAAAACCACTAAGAATGATGGCCTAGCCATGCTGACATATAACCTTAACTATCACAACCAGCATTACTCTTCCTCACACCTTGGCATTCATTACTGCCAGATATACATTGTTAATGTGCAAAACAGTCAGGTAGATTTTTTTTTTTTTTACTACAGTCATAAATGAGAAACGGTGAATAATGAGATAGTCAATAAGGGAAGAGTTGTTGTTTTCATTAGGTGCTATCAAAATCAGTTTTGACTCATAGCAACCCTATGTACGACAAAAGGAAACACAGCCCTGTCCTATGCCATCCTCTTAATAGTTGCTATGCTTCAGCCTACTGTTAGCCACTGTGTCAATCCATCTTATTGAAGGTCTTTCCTTTTTTCACTGACCCTCTACTTACCAAGCATGATATCCTTCTCCAGGGACTAGTCCGTCCTGGTAACATGACCAATATATGACAGATGAAGTCTTGCCATTCTTGTTTTTAAGGAGCATTCTGGCCATACTTTTTCCGAGACAGATTTGTTCATTCTTCTGGCAATCCATGGCATATTCACTATTTTTGATCAACATCAACACCATATTTCAAATGCATCAATACTTACGCAGTATTCCATATTCATTAGACAGCTTTCATATGCATATGAAGCTACTGAAAATATCATGGCTTGGGTCTTCAAAGGGACATCTTTGCTCTTGAACACTCTAAAGAGGTCTTTTGCAGTAGATCTGCCCAATGTAATATGTTGTTTGATTTGACTGTTGCTTCCATGAATGTTGATTGTGGATCAAAGGAAAATGAAATCCTTGACAATGTCAATCTTTTCTCAATTTGTCATGATGATGTTTTGTTGGTCCAATTGTGAGGATTCTTTTTTTTTTCCTGTCCCCTCAACCATGGTCCCAAGCCCACAGGTCCAACAACTCGCTCTGTCAGGATGGTTTGCTGTGACTAGAGACTTTTAACTTTGCTCCTTGTTAGCTCTATTATATTACATTTTTATAGCACAAGAAATATCATCTGCCAACCTTATATATGGTCATGGGTATATCCCTTTTGCCTAGATATACCTATCATTCAGCCTGTCTATACATCAATTTCCCCATAGATTAATGTTATCACTGATAATACAGTATTGTATATGTAAAAGGGTTTATCTTTGTTGTCTGTACCTCTTGTGCACCTCTCTGTGTCTTCATTTTCCTTAGTATTATTGTTTTGGTCACTTGCTTTTGGTATACTGCCTTTCCCCTCACCCCAATCAACATGTATTTCTACCCATTTAGCAGCCATAGTAGTCACAACAGCCTGGTATTGGTACCAAAGATAGACACACAGACCAGTGGAACAGAATTGAGAACCCAGAAACAGATCCATCGACTTACAGTCAGCTCTACCCTTCCTCTACCATCCCTGGTAACCAACAAAGACAGTTTCTTTCCATATATAAACCTTTCCTTGACTTTTTACAATAGTAAACTAATACAATATTTGTCCTTCTGTCATTGACTTATTTCATTCAGCATAATATATCCTCCAAGTCCATCCACGTTATGTAGTGTTTTGCAGATTATACATTATTCTTTGGTGTTGCATAGTATTGCATTGTGTGCATGTACCATTCTTCTGTTGATGGGCACTTAGGTTGTTTCCATCTCTTTACTATACTGAACAGGGTTGTGATGAACATGGGTGTGCATGTATCTGCATCCTCTCATTTCTTTAGGATATATACCTAGTAACTGGATTGTTGGATCAAATGGTATTCCTAATCTTAACTTTTTAAGAAATTACCATATTGATTTCCACACATGTATCATTTTACAGTCCCACCAGCAATGTATGAGAATCTCCACATCCTCAACAGCATTTGTTATTTTCTGTCTTCTTGAACTTTGTTATTAGTGCTGGGGTAAGATGGTATCTCATTGTTGTTTTGATTTGTATCTCTCTAATGGCTAATGATCATGAACATTTCTTCATGCTTGTTGGCTGTCTGAGTATCTTCTTTGGTGAAGTGTCTACTCATGCCTTCTGTCCATTTTTAAATTGGATTGTTTGTGGTTTTGATGTTGAGCTGTTGGAGTTCTCTATAAATTTTAGAGATAGGTCCCCTGTCAGTTATGTCACTGCCGAATATTTTTTTTCCAATCTGTAGGTTCTTTTTTTACTCTTTTGGAGAAGTTCTCTGAAGCACATAAAAATTTATCTTCTGCTGTTTGTGCACTTTGGGTTATGCTTGAGAGTCTATTTATGTCATAAATTAGGGCCTCTAAGTTTGCCCCCATTTTTTCCTTAATGAACTTTATAGTTTTAGGTTTCACATTTAAGTCTTTGATCTATCTGGAGTTAGTTTTTGTGTATGGTGTGAGGTATGGATCTTTTTTCATTTTTCTGAAAATGGATAACCAATTTTGCCAGCACCATTTGTTAATTACTATCTCTTCCCCATTTAATGGATTTTAGCCCTCTGTAAAAGATCAGCTGACTATAAGTCGATGGATCTATTTCTGCATTCTCAATTCTGTTCCACTGGTCTGTGTGTCTGTCTTTATATCAATACCAGGCTGTTGTGACTACTATGGCTGTATAGCAGGTTTTGAGATCAGGGAGTATGAGACCTCCTATTGTTCTTCTTCAACAGTGCTTTGCTTATCTGAAGTCTCCTTCCTTTCCATATAAAAGTAGTGATTTTTTTTTCCATATCATTAAAGAATGTTGATGGAGTCTGGATTGGGATTGCATTGAATGTATAGATTGCTTTGGGTGTTGTTGTAGTTAGGTGCTGTCGATTTGTCTCCAACTCATAGCAATCCTATGTACAACAGAACGAAACACTGCTCAGCCCTGTACCAGACCTATGATCCCTGCTATGCCTGAGCCCATTGTTACAGCCACTGTGTCCATTTATCTTGTTGAGGGCCTTCCCTTTTCCGCTGACCCTCCACTTTACCAAGCATGATATCCTTCTCCAGGGGATGGTCCCATCTGACAACATAACCAAAGTAGGTCAGATGAAGTCTGGCCATTCTCACTTCCAAGGAGCATTCCGGCTGCACTTCTTCCAGGACAGATTTGTTCTTTTGGCAGTCCATGGTACTTTCAGTATTCTTCACCAACACCACAACTCAAAAGCATCGACTCTTCTCTGGTCTCCTTATTCATTCCAGCTCCACATGCATATGAAACAACTGAAAATACCATGGCTTGGGTCAGGTGTACCTTAGTCTTCAAGGAGATATCTTTGCACTTTAGCACTTGAAGGTCCTTTGCAGCAGATTTGCTTTGGGTAGTATAGACATTTTCATGATGTTCAATCTTCCTATCCATGAGCATGGTATGTTCTTCCATTTATGTAAATTTCTTTTGGTTTCTTGAAGTAGTGTTTTGTAATTTTCTTTGTATTGGTCTTTTGTGTCCCTGGTAAGACTTATTACCAAGTATTTACTTTTTTGGTAGCTATTGTAAATGATATTGATTTCCTTATTTCCTTTTCAGCAATCTTTTTGCCAGTGTAGAGGAATCCAACTGATTTTTGTATGTTGATCTTGTATCCTGCCACTATGCTAAATCTTTCAATTACTTCTAGTAGTTTTCTTGCTGAGTCTCTTGGATTTCTATGTATAGGATCATATCACTTGCAAACAAAGATAGTTTTACTTCTTCCTTACCAATTTGGATGCCTTTGATCTCCCTTTCATGATTTATTGCCTTGGCTAGGACTTCCAATACAATGCTGAATAGAAGTACTGATAGAGAACATCCATGTCCAGTTACTGTTTGCAAAGGGAATGGTTTCAGTCTTTCAACATCGAGAATAATGTTGGCTGTTGCTTTTGCATATATGCTTTCTTATGTTGAGGAATTTCCCCTCTACTCTTATTTTTCTGAGAGTTTTTAATCAGGAAAGGGTGTTGGATTTTATCAAATGCCTTTTCTGCATTGTTTTATATGATCAAGTGGTTCTTTCCTTATGTTACTTTAAGTGATGGATGACACTGATTGTTTTTCTAATGCTGAACTATCTTTGCATAGCTTGTATGAACCTGAACCCCACTTGGTCATCATGTATTCTTTTTTTGATATGTTTTTGGAGTCTATTAGCTAGGATTTTGCTGAATATTTTTGCATCTATATTCGTGAGGGATATTAGTCTGTAGTTTTCCTTTTTAGTGATGTCTGCCTGGTTTTGGTATCAAGGTTATGCTTGCTTCATAAAATAAATTTGGGAGGATTCCATCCATTTCTATGTTCTGGAATAGTCTGAGTAGGATTGGTGTCAGTTCTTCTCTGAACGTTTGGTAAAATTCTCCAGTGAAACCATCTGGGCCAGGACTTTTTTGTTGGTGATTTTTTTTATGACCTGTTCAATTTCTTCTTTTGCTATGGGGTCTGTTCCAATTTTCTACTGCAGTCTAGGTAAGCAGTATGTTTCCAGAATTCTGTCCATTTCTTCTAGATTTTGAAATCTGTTGGAGTACAGTTCTTCATAATATCCTGATACTATCCTTTTTATTTTGGTTGCTTCTGTT